CTAAGACATCCCTTGCTTTACAGCAGGATTCTGAGATGTGAATGCTACTATTGCCAGTCCCCTGAGCGAGCTGACTGTCCCACTTTCCCTAGTGCTGCCTGCACAATCGATGGCTGCCTCAGCTCGGGGCACAGCACAGCACAGCACAGCAGCTCTCCGGGGTTTGCACACAGACGTGTGCTGGCATGGCTGTGGCCACGCAGACGAGGCTGCAGTGGCTGCAGCAAAGCAACCCGAGCCCTCACAAAGGAGGCCTCTCTTGCTTTTATACATCAGCACTAACAATTGATGCGAAATCAGACTGCAGAGCCTTGCAGTTCAGAGGCAGATGACCAAACACTAATCATGTGGCTGCCAGCAGCTAACATTAGCTAGGGAAAAGGATCTTAACTGACTGCAACTTCTGTGTCATCACAGAAGACTTAAAAAAGAGCTCAGCTGGAAAATGGAGAGAAAATTGAAAAGAAAAAAAAATAAAAAGAAAAGAGAGAGAGAGAGAGAGAAAGGTAATTTGACAATATCTCTGCCCCATCACAGGCTGGCTTGGAAAAAAATCCCTGAATTTAGCACTCTGGTATTGAAGCTCAGAGACACTACCACTATTGCAAGAAAACCCCTTGCTAAAGCACAGCCTGTTTGCTATTACTCCTCCTGTATATGGCAGGGTTCCTTTGAGTAGTTTGTACCTCACAGAGCCTGCCCCTCTACACAGAGCTCATATGTGAGGGAGTGCTCCCCCCTGACAGAGCAAACCTTTGCTGCAGTGGAGAAATGCAGTAAATTAGCACCCAATCAAATTATTTTGGTATTTCTGCAGTGTACTGAGGCTTACACATCCCACAACCACAGGGATGTGGACTACATATGTACCAATTTTCTCTTGAGTCTGTGTCTTAGTTTACAACTGTGCAGCAGCAACCTCAGAGCTGCTCTGCAGGGCCATCTAAACAGGTCTAGCATTGAACCAAAATGTTTAGTTCTTCAACAGCCTGACCTGCAATGGCAGCAGCATTGGCATTTGGATCAGTATTTCTACTTACATATGGAAAGAAGCGTTTTTCCCGAAGTGCCTAATTGCAGTGATGCAACAGATAATGGCAAAGAGCATTATGCATACCCTTTAAACTGTGTGTAAATTACCAAGCATGACTTACTTTTTAAAATTAGAAAGGTCCTTTATTCGTATGGGAAAAATTGTACAGCTGAGTCCCTTCCCTTCACTATACAAATTTTACATTCAGTTGCACAGTCACAAAACGTGGCTTTGGAAAGAATCACCACTTACAGCAAAAACCCGATCAATGTGACTAATCACAACAGCTGTCTTACCTATCAGAAGTTTAGTGGCTTAGTATAGCCTTTAAATAAAACAGCTTGTCTACACATTTTTCACTGAGCAATACAATTAATTCCCATTTTCTGAAGAAGCAGCTTTAATAGCCACCTGATGCTTCAAAGCCATGAGGCAGCACTTACAATCATACTTAACAGAACACACGTGCTGCACAGTTAGCCTGGAAAGGCTCAGGTGTAGCCTTTCAGATCCCATGAAAATTTATGTTGGAACCCTGGCCACAGAGTTTCATGCTTTCTGTGCTGACAGGCACAGACCCACAAGAGAACACTGTGTTTGACCTGAAGCCATGGAAAAGGCTTCCAAAATTAATATTAAAATTAATATTTAAATTAAATTAAATATGAGTGTGTAGTTTGAATACAAGTGTGTTATATCACTTGGTGGAAAATTTAGGCTTTAAGGTTTTAGAATATAGTAATAAATATGTAACAAAATGGAGGTTATAGGGCATTAACCTGCCTTGTTCTTTCACCTTCTTCATGGATTTTAGTAATGTTGTGTGATTGGATAGAAAAATCTGCAGTGCAGAACATGGGTATTTGGTTATTGGGTTATAAGTAAAAATAAATTAGTTGGAATTTTATAATTGGGTAGTTGACACTTAAAAGGCCTTGGAAAGAGATACCTGGGGTCCATTTTTCTGAAAAAAAACGGGTTCCATTTTTTAGACAGCTAGCTTAGTGTGTAGATGAACTCACTCTCTGTGAGTATGTAATATAGATAAGAAAAAATAAACAACTGAGTCCGAACACTAAAACCGTCTCTCTCGCTCATTAATCCCGACCTTGAGGAAAAGGGCCGAGAGACTTTTTACAGATTTAAACAAACCATGTCTTTTTTTCTCCTCTGACCTAATACTGTCACTGTGAACAACAACAGTGAAAAAGTGTTTCTGCTGCAGAAGTAGGACTGCAGTATTTCTTGTATGGGCATGACTGGTCTGTGGAAGGAGGTAGAACATTTCTCTCCCAGTTCTATTGAAATAGTATGTCTTTGATGTTTGAAAGTTTCCCAAGGTCTTACATTTGGAAGGTACTTCCCTGCACGGCTGGTGCTTGTACTTTAAGCTTCACTGTTATTTTTCTGAGTGGTTAATGGGCCTTCCTCAGCTTTACATCTTCTGGAACCCTTCTATAGACCATCCACTGAAAAATGCAATTATATGTCATGCCTAAGTACTGGATTTTTTTTTGCCTTATCAGCTTGGGAGTCTTTCTCTCAGACCTAAAAGAACAAGATTTTACCAAGTGGTGATGCCGCTAGTCTGACTGCCATTTGTTGAAGTAGAGCCCCTGAATAAAAACACAGCTATCACCAATGGCCATAGGAGCTCACCTGGCCACAACAGAAGCAAATTTAAAGTCTAGCTCCTTAGAGCCTGTGGCACACATTAATGTCACCCCAACATCTGCTGAGTTTGTGTGCTGAAGCATTGGCAGGCTCATGCCTTTGAATCCGACTGAATCTTTAGAGCTCATGTTTCTTTTTCTGCTCTGTCTGTTGACAAGCAATCCTAAGAATCTGTCACTAGCAGGCAAAAATAGAATCAGGACAGGAAAAGCTGTGGACCTCAAAAGCGTTTCTGGAATTTCAGTGTGGGCAAATCTCTCATGATGATCTCTTGAAAGAACTGCCCTTGAAAGTAAAATGGAAAACTTTTGGATACAAAATCCCAGACAGTTACAAAACAAAAGCCTATTGAGGTGATTAAAATTTACTCTTCAGAGGATAGTCATGGTAATGTGAAAAGCTCATAATCTATCAGAGCCAGAGTAACCTGATAAATACCATGGAGTATTAAGAGCACAGTCAATTCAGAGAAAACTCTGAGATTGAAATAGTATTCTCAGAACAATTTTTAACAAGGAAAGCTTTTCCCGTTTTGGGTCTGTAACAACACTGACAGACTTTGAGGGAGGCTCCAACTGTAGAGATCATCATCATCTGTTTGATGTGGAACAGGATACAAAAAAAACCTCTCAAGGCATGTGATGGTAGATAACATGAGAGCTAGGGTCTCATGGAAAGTCTCCAGACAATGGCCAGTTCAGTGGAGGCATATGCCTGTCTCTGTTTCATGCTGTAGGAAATACAAGTTAGGGCAAGAGCTGCTTGTCTCTAAGCCACATGAAAAGTCGTCAAGCTTAAAGGAATTAAAAGACAGAGTAGATGCCACACAGGTTCATGCAATTCTGTCTTTGACGGTGGCCAGTTGTAGCTGTTTAGGGAAAAAGTATAGGAAACAAAGAGCAGAAAAAATGTAATTCAGCTATGGATGGATTGAACTGCTTCATTTTCGACTGTGAAGTAACACAGACTTCTGTATCGCACATTCTCAGGTTGTGGCAAGGGGGTTGGGATGGTTTCAAGTACTTCTGGCCTGTGCACTGTAACATTTCCTTTGGCATATATTAGCTTCTTTTCATGCATAAGCCATTTGCAACTCAGACATAAAGATTTTACACTAAAATGAAAGGGGTAGAGAAATTTTGTCAGCATTCCCATATTCAATAGTAAATTTGTGAATGCAGGGAGAAGGAAGCAGCCAGTTACGCCATAGAGAGTACGCAATGCTGAGGGTAAACAGCAAACCTGTCTGGGGTATGAGTAGATTCAATTGTAGAACTTTGAGCATTGTATCCTAAAACAATTGCCAAATTTCCCAAGTACATTTCTAGTGTGATGAAGAACTTCTTCTATGAAAAGCATATTTTCTAGGTTCTCCTTTTCTTTTGTCTTTCTAGTGCAGGTACTGTGTAGAGATGATGCCCTGGCCCTAAGCGCAAATATAAATTAGTCCTTTATAGAAACAGACATTGGATTTACCCTGGTCATCTGCTCCATTATTTGCTATGATCCCCACCAGCTGCAGGAGCTTCCTTCCACAACCGCCTGTTTGTTGCTAAGAAGACTGCAGAAACAGTGTTCTTGGGGAAAATGCACTGTATTTATGTGTGCAAATTGGTCATTTTGAAACATGGCAGGCTCAGCAAAATTTCTCCCTGAACGTAATCCCCATGCAATGCTTCTCGGCATGGATGCAGATTTAGATCCTTTAGTCAGTGTCAGCATCATCTCTGAGATTGCCCTTTTCAGTTAATTTTAAGAGCAAACAGAACAAATGTGCATCAAAGTACCCCCACATGAAAGCCCAGAGGCAGCAGGGAACAGCTACTGCAGATTCAACCCATGCTGCCTTTCTCACCATTCACAGTAAATGAAAGATGCTCAGGGACAGGCTGCCATCCCACTGCATGTGACACAAATGCATTCTTTCATCCTCCTGGTAAAAAACCACACTGGTTACCTGAAGTTTTGTTAATTTAAAAAAAGAAACAAAAAGAGATTAAAAGAAAAGCAGGTCCCTGATATCTTTTTGCATGGGAGGCTGATTTGAAATGAAAAGCAGTGAAAATAAATGGAGTAACTTTAGCCTTTTATATATATAGCCTGAACAAAGGACAGCTGATTTTCTTGTTACTTCAATACTATGACCACACTTCTCCAGATAAAATCAACAGAGCTCCACAAGACTCACCTTTCTTGAACTGCTAGTGCTTTTAGCATTAGGTAGAGGACCTAATTTTCTGGTTGAGATGAACAAAGTTCGTTCTTTCATCTGAGCTGAACAAAGGTTTCTTACCGTTAAGGACAATGCCATGCAAACAAAAGTGAACTTCTTGATATGCGTCGCTGTGACGGTGCTGTTGGTGTTCACCAGTTTATTGCTGGGGTTATTCTAGGGCAAGAGAAAGAGATAGCGAGCATTAGCCTGGCTCCAGACTACGGGGAGCTGCCGGCACCAGGGTCATGTGCTGGACCTGTCTGACTGTGCCTGTCCACGTCTGACTTGGCTTGTTTGCTTTATAACCTAGAGCTTTCTGAGTACTTTGTACCACTGCAGAACATTTTCCGCTTAAACTGACAGCAACTGCTGCTACGGTCACTGAAGGCTGAGTAATCTCCCTACTTTTCTAAGGAATGAGTCCTATTTAACAAACTGAGCTTTGAAAAAGGTTGTTAGCTCCTTCTAAGAAAACACCACATGATTTTTTTAACTTTAGTCTGAAGTTTGCAGCATGTTTCCACCGGAAAAATAGGATTTTATTCCCTTTTATCACAGATTGGTACCAAATCACCAATGCAAGCATCCTTACTGATGCAATTAGATAAATAGGTAATATAAACAAAGCTTCTGGAACAGCTGGCTCCATTAATGCAGTTTAATGAACAGAACATAATTAGGGGTATTAGATGTTCCACCTTGAACATGGGCTCTGTAGTCACATGGCAGCAAAGTTTTATTTAAAACAACAAAAGCCTTCTTCCAAATATCTCATATAGCAAATGAAGCTGAGGATTTAAAATTGCCCTTGGGGAACACATAAAACCAAACTAAATGGTCTGTGAAAGGAAAGGATGGGATATATCAAAGCAGGGTACCATTAGGAGCCCTTAAGCAAGAGGCTGTTAGGTTATCTATTGCATTTGCCCTGGGACTGTTTGAGATACACAAGTTTGATGATAAAACCTGTACCATGAGATGTACATTTATACACCACTGATGTAACTTGGGAAGAACAGCAGTACCTGTCGCACAGTCAGCCTCCTTTACTGGAGTTACTCCTAGGAGATATAGAACTATTGCAGACACATTCTGGCAGTGGAGCACTGCGAAGAGTACATCATTCCACACACATTCAGGTGCTTGATGGAATTTTGGAATTTAAGGCTTTTGTTCTGATCAGTGCAGCAATTGCACCTAGATGGCCTCACACTCCTGCCTAAATACCTGCTTGGAAGTTTGGGTGCTTGAATTTGTAGGCAACCCAGACCCTAAAGCAGGAAGCCACTCAATCTGACCTTTTTCGGAACAGGTTATGAAAACTCTCTGTAAATGTTTTTTCATGCATCTATTACTATTAATTGTGTTTCTGAAGAAATACTTTGCTTTTCTGTTAGGTTTCATGGATGTGAGGATAAGCCTTGCTTACATCACTCACCGATGTTTAAATGAACTTTTTGCTGTGTGGCTCAACTTTCTAACAAATCTAAAATAACAAAGAGGAAATAAAGCACACCCAAATCAAGGCATCCAAAAGCTGCTAAGAAAAAGCTTTCTCATTTGTTCCTACCTCACTACTGCTATCCCTGCCCTTGCCATACTCTTCCCTCTGCTCCAGCTCTCAACCACATACTCTTTGTTCATAACTCTTAAACACAATTTAGTTCTCAGAACAAAACACTATGGGGATTCTGGAGCAAAAAAGAATATCCATTCCCATCTAGTCATCAGATAAACAGCATTCTCAAATCTCACAATTGGTGCTGCTCTGAGTCAGGTGGAAAGGTCCATTAAGAGCAAGGGCATTACCACCAAATAAAACAGCACACAGAGCACAGAACTAGCATATGTCTGCTCTCTTTCAAAATATCAGTAGTAACCCTTAACCTGACTGTAACTGCTAGGCGATGGGGTTGCTTTGGTATGAGACTGAAGTAGGACCCTAGGACCCTGCATCTGTCTTACAAATGTGAAGAGAGATCATGATTTCCCTTGTGAAGACAAGAATCTGACTTCTCCTATAGAGCCACTGAAGAGGGGCATCTCAAATCCCATCAGTCAGTGTGTTTCTGATGGCCAGCAGCCTCCCGAATAACTGACAAAAGAAAATGGGAGTTTGCATGTAAACATACTGTTTTGGCTTCTGAAAATCACAATGGACACCTTACAGGGTCCAGAAATATGAAAGTGCTTATATCTGGACTCTTCTGAGAAAGACTTACATTACAGAAACAAAGCTTTTGAAAGTCACAGTGACACAAAGTGATGCATGACCAAGAGAAAAGCAATTCTCACAGCAATCTTAAAACAACGACTGTGGGTTTCAGGTTTGGTATTTATTGTCTGAAAAGTATAGTGAAGGCATTTACACATATGGTTGCCATGAAGAGATATCCTTTATACTCATTTTGTATATTTTATTTCTTTCTCTTCAGACATTGAACTAAAATTCTCATTAGTACTTTTCCAGCAGTTAGATAAACTGTACCCATCTGTGTCTTACCCTATAATTTTCTTCCTCACATTGTCCCACAAGAGCCCTGTGAGAAGCCTTTTAACTGAAATAAACTAATGGACAAATCATGGCCTAATCCTGTCACCACTGCAGTTGTCAGCATATCTTTCACCAGCTAAATGAGACCTGAATTTAGGAGTCTTAACTGCTGTCACTATTGCTTGGCAACAGTGCATTTGATTGTGGCTTGCATCAAATTATGTTAGCAGCTCCTGAGTTTCCTGTCCCAAATTATTTTTATCTTGCAGTTCACTGGGTTTGCATCTGCAGTTCCTTTTCAGCAGGATGGCCTCTGAGAAAGCCTACATGTGGTATTTTATCTGACAGGTCAATTAAATTGTACACAGGCAGGTTAGGAGGTTATGAATAATTTGACTTTGTGTTGGTTTTAAGTTCTCCTTGGAAATACGATGGATGATATTAAACAGGGCTTGCTCCAGTTAAATACATTCCAGAGAAATCAAATGTATTTTTCATGAGTATTTGGAACCAGAAAGTTCAGTTACTAATTGGTAAATAAAGGGAAGGAGAGGATCTGGCATTTGAATTCCAGTCATGGGACAGGACAATTCTTTGCATTGCATATGGACTAGTGAATACCAGTTATAAATCAGAGCAAAAAAAGAGACTAAAAAAAAATTAATTTTTGCTCTGCATCAGTTCCAGGAGCAATCCTTGCATTCTTACATAATTACATTATTTACCAACAAAAATCTTTATAGCCTTGGTCAGCTAAGTCAGTACTAGGAAAAGAATGTCTGTTATCTGTGTTAGTGTGTATGAAACATTCTTTGCTAAGTATTAACATAAGCAAATGAACCCAAACCTACTTGAGAGATACCATAAAATCTGGAGGACGTGAGTTTGCTCATTCAGTGATGACTTTTTGTGAGAAATCACTTCATTACCAAAGTAGCTACCTCATAGTAAGGACTTTTTTTAATCCTTAAAAATACAGCACCTATCTATCCAAAAGGCAGCCAAATGCCTTGTAACACAGAGCTAAGGCTAAAATCATAAATCAGACAACAGCTTGAAGCCACCAAAAGCAAATTAATTTTAACTAGATTTTAAGAAAACCTATCAGTGGAACAACAAACAAAGAGAACTAGGAGGAGCACACACACAAAACCCCATAGGAGGTATTTATGACAGCCCTAACAGGGACACTCACCTTGTCAAAAGCAGGGTATACAGCTCTGATCTCTGTCAGCCAGCCATAGGGCATGTGTCCCACAGGATATGTAGCTGTCAAAATTGCTACTGCCTACGAATAGAGACAGAGACAACTCTTCAAACACAACAGTTAAACTAACATAGGGTGCTAGTGCCCACCAGTATCACCATGCTGACCTTGACATGATGTGAAATATTTTGTTTCAGGAAGACCATCAAAATGGCTGGCATTTGGCCTGGCATTTTAAGCTTATGAAATTATTTTGTGACATGAAGTTACCTAAGTCAGCTTTGCCATTTCACCATCACTCTGGGATAATAGTTAACTTGAGCTGTGGTGCACCCCTTAACCAGCCCAACACCTTCCTCCCATATTGCTCCTGAGTTATTTTACCTGCAGATACCTGAGCACCAGAATGCCCTGCAGCTCACAGTAGTTTTGATACATACCACATAATTTCAATTTATATATATATGTTTTACTTGGTTATTCATAAATAAAATAGCTCCAAGTAAGACAGACAGACTATAAATCAGTGGACCTCAGTGGCTGACTGAATTTGGACATCAATCTGACTGCCTGGGGGCACAAGGCACTTATGAGACAAAAAAAATCCACCTCTCCCCACTCTGGTGCTCTTTAATGAGCACCAGACAAAAATAATTCCAGATGAACATTTATATGGGAAGAAACAATTCACTGCTTGAAGTTTTAAAACTAGGCCCCTTTACTCTCTCACAAGTACAGTCCAAGACGTTTATCAAAGATATAAGCTCCCCCACATATTAATTAAGGGTGCTTGGGTTCCTTTTGTCCGCAGGTTCAGATCTGTTACAATCCATGCATTTCTGATTAATTTTATATCCGGCAATTGGCAGTGTTAAGAAAGACCTTTTTTAACTACTGATGTTTCTGTTTCACTCCCAAACTTTCAAAATACATTTTCTTGATTATCTGAGCCCATTTTCTCATTATAAATGTAACTGCTGTCTTTGTTTGGTTAAAAGGTCTATACAAACACAGGACCATGTAGAAAGCTAATTTGTTTCCCATGCTGTTTGAAAAGAGAGTGGAATGTAGTGATATCCACAGAGAGGAAGAGAGTGGTATAGATCCTTCCCTGCTAATAATAGCTTTAATAATGTTTAATGTACCTTGAAAAAGGAATTGGCTCAAATAAACCAAATTGCAATTTGAAGTTAGTACCCTTTTTAATTGCACATCCTCCCATTACTGTACTTTCATCAGAATTTCCATCTGTATGAAACCTAACTAGGTTAAATTGAGTAAGGAATATAAAAGCGCTTTTGCTTATTTTCATTGTTAAATCCAAAAAGACTGCAAAGACGCAGTACCTGTAAAAGGAAAAATTATTTCAACATATTTTGAATGCTAGATCCTGCTTGGATGAAAGTATCAGGTTTTTAGCAGTGATTTTTTTCCCAGTATTTTTCCTCAGCTAGTGTTATTCCAACATATATGCATGAAAGTTTTCCTAAATGTCCAGCACCTGTATTTGACGGATGGAAAAGGCCCCTATGAAAGCCACCACCAAAGAGGCAGCCCAATCACCACAACTCTGCTGGCACTCCAAACAAAAGCAGTGGGAGCTGAACAGTGCAAGTGGATTTGTGGTCCTCATGAACATGCTACAGCCTAGTCGTTCACAGGGACTCCCTGACCATAACTAAAGCTACTGCTATTATTGAATAGGGGACCTGTAAAACTCCTGTGGATACTGATGCTCCTGTCACTGATGTTATCTGTGTTGCCAGCACCCCCCTTTTCAGAGGTAATTCTTTCAGAAATCAGAGAAAGCTGGGATGTGACCAATACTGTTAGTATAAAACTGCCAGCAAATCACCAGCTTTGACATGCATTTGAAGTCATTCTAATTGCAAGAAAATAGAACTGGCTAGCCATGAAATCTAAAACTGAAAGTCACCAAGAAATGCAAAGCTGATCTTTGCGAACCTGTGGCTCCCCTTGTACGGAGATCACTGCTAAAACATAGACTGATCCCTGAATCACATATGTAAAAGCATTGTTTCCTAAGTTCTCTTCTCACAGCTGTGTAATTGCAGTCTCTGGCACCTTCTGAGTGAGCAAAATACACAGTATCATGTATGACAAATTAGCAGCAGATCTTTGAACTTTTCATTTAGTATCTTACAGCTTTGCTTATCCTATGGCTATATGCACCTAGACATCCCCACATGAAACTGGCAGCAGAAGTCCCCCAGACTTCTTACAAGAATGGGTCAGCTTGCGGTAAAGGCTCTGCATTACAATCAGAAATCTGTCTCCCAACAGCTGTAGGAGACTTACTGGAGTAATCTGAAATTCTTCAAGAGGAACAGAGTGTACTTCATATCCCAAGCAGGAGACAGAATTTTTTTTATATGTGTTTTTGTCTCTACACTGTTCTGTGTGATGCACTGACAGCCAACAGTAGTTTCACTTCAGTTTGCACAGCCATAAAATATACATGACAGCAAAGAGCAGGACATGGGACTAATGTCAACTGACCTAAAATTTCTGGGATCTATATGCTCCAGATTATATGTATCTATAAGTAGAGCATAAAAACCTGGGATGCAGGCAGTGTTCAGTGAAAAAATTCTACTAGTCTTGTTGAGGGTGACGTCCCCCTAAACCTGGTAGAAGGGCTCATGGTGAGAGTCCAAGCAATCTTCTTTTCAAGCATAAAAAGAGCACTAAACAGAAATGTACTTAAGACATTTTTTCTTGTCAGCTTGGCTGAGAAGAGAGGCACAGAGGTAACACCATGGAAATGATCGTTTGCAGTAATGGAGAGCACTGCCTTTCTTACCTCAGTGGCTGCAGAACTGCCACCTAGGTCCCGGGAGACAAAAAGGTTGACAATGGGCCTACTTATTCGCTGAGTTGCCAAAATTAATGCCAAAGGCCACCAGAAGCTCAGCATCTTCCTTATTGTAGCTTCTCCCTGCAACACAGGGTAAAAAAAATGAAGTGTGTTTGGACAAAAACATGCAGCACAGGACCAAAAGCATGGAGAAAGGTTTTCTGCTTTTCCCATCCATTGTCAGTTTGGTACATTCATTTCAATAATTTTCAATATGATATTTAAAGTGATGATATGATGAAATATTTTTACTCATGGTAGCAATACTGATTCAAAAGAAGATGTGTCATGGATCTCAATAAATAATGCATAAGGTATCTATCTGCATAATTTGTTCTGACTACCAGACAAAGCTACATGAAAAACAATATGACATTTGAAGAAAAAGAGAAATTTTGATATCTTCTTCCATATGAACTAAGGTCTTCACTTAGTTCATGCTGTGCTGTCTTACAGCTTGGTACAGAGGTTCTCAGTAGACACATCCATACCATGGAAGGCATTGTGTCACATGTGCTGTTGCTGGATTAATTTCTACCGTGCCTCTTTAATTGATAAGGCAGTTTTTTCCTGCAGGACAGAGAGAAGGCCCTTCATGCACAGTGGTTTAATGTAGTATTATAACACAAAAAAAACCCAAGTAAAATGATTGAGTTTGAAAAAAACACAAGTATGAAGACATACCCCCATTTCAGGCCCACTTCTGTCAGGAATAACATCATGTATGTTCCTGTAGTATCCGAGGCAGAGTGTGGTACATCGGACAAGTGCTCCCATGTATAAGGACAAGATTGGGATCAAGAGAGGCTCCCTGCACTCCAAGTGACTGTGAAGCAAAATGGCTACAAAAACAACCTGCAGAGAAAACAAACAGATGATTAACAATTTGTCCGTATGCTTCTCCAGGGCCAATACATCTCTCGGATTCCTACTAAATCAATCTGAACCAACAACTTGCATGGCTCCAGTATCTATGGAAACTTTAGTCAGGATCCCCCAGCATTTGGTCATGTACACGAGAAGAACAAGAGTTAACTTTCATACTCTATGAAACAGGACTTGAAGGCTGGGCAGGTGTCAGACTAGAACCCATAAATAGGAGAAGGCTGGCATGAAAGTCTAGCAAGGTCTGGCAGAAAGCATGTGGCTGAGAGTCACCCTTCTCAGGAGAATGTGCTATTCTGATACACACTGAGGCTGGAGACATGCTTCCAGCCATCTTACACCTTCTAAGCCCTACTATTTTTTTATTTTTTTTGTGGAAGGGGAGAGAGTAGCAGCAATTAAGAAGCCAGATGTTTTAAAATATTCACTTCAACATTTAGGAGCTGGAAGTCTTATAACAACCTAATTTTCAACTTTTTCAAGTGAAATTTCACTATTTCATTATTTGCTTTTCAGCTGAGTGCCACATTAATGTAAATTAAATGGAAACTTTTGGGCAAATGAACAGTTCATAATTCAGCCTCTTAAGACTAAATGTTCATTCCATAAAATGTAAAGGAACTTATTAATATGATATTAGTCTCTTTGTTAAGTAGAGAGTGGATGAAATGTCTGTTCCAAATGACTCTGGATGGGGGACACAACTGGAAAGCCAACTATGTTTGGTGCTGTAAAGAACAGAACCAAGACAATCCTGCCAGGACATGCAGGGATTCAAGTGAGTTACAAGAAATAAAATAGATACTGTTCAGGTGCAGGCTCTCTCCTTCATGGCCAGAGCTGTAGAAGTAGTTAGGAAAAACCACACTCTGCAAATGTTCCTAAGGCAGGACACAGTGCTTGTGAGGGTTTTTAAACCTACAAAAACATTGTTTTTCATTAAACAGATACAAAGTCAGTCACAAAGAGTGTGCACATGAAGCTACTCAAGAAAAAGTGGCTACTGCCTGTGCCCCTACTCCCTGTCTAGGGCACAGACATAGGTACGAAGTTCTGGGCTATGACAGCCATAACTTTTTGTGTTCTGGATTTGCTCTTGCTCTGTGTAATATTCTGTTGAGAGAAGATGACAGGTGTCTTATTCATCACAACCCTGACATCCCACTCACCAACCGCTGTGGAAAGGGCACAGCCAAAATAAGAATTTGTTTCTGTATTTAGCTGTGCATGACCTGACATGCACCCAGGGTCAGGAAACTTTGTAGGTCACATCAGAACAAGAGCAGACCCTGAGTGCTAAGGTCATTTACAGTAATTGGTATTATCTCTGGGGATTTAGGGCAGTACTGTAGTGGGGCAGACCTGGTTTATGGTTTCCTTATGTTAAATGTGAGGAAAATGCTACGGAAAACTGAACTGACTGCCACTGACTTCATATTTGCTTTGATGTTGTACTGTTTTATCCTCTTTCTTATCCAGTCATTACATCACTCAGCTGGGAACGGGGCAGTACAGCAAGGACTCTAAATTTCCTAATATTTTTATATGTTTTCAAAAGAGGGCTGTATATTGTTTTTTAAATGCTACAACACTGGCCCTCATCATTGTGTATGAATGTTATTTTTTCAGTGTGCCTAATACAAAGGAACAGGACAGTTAACACCTCCCTTTTGAAAGTTCAAGAAACATTTGGTCCTCTCTGAAACACACAGGGGTCATCACCACAGACCTCTTCCGGTGCACTTCTGAGCCTTCACCTTTTGGAACAGTAACAAGTACTCAGAAGGCGGCTTACACTGCATTTCCTTGGACTAGACACCATGTGCCAAACTGACAGGTCAGCTGGAGAATCATGCCATCACCTCCAGCTCAGGATTTCACTGGAACTGTGTTGGGGAGAACTTACAGAGAGAGAAAGATCTCTTTCAAAGCATTCTCTCAGCCTCAGGATTGGTAGTAGCCAGTGGTCTCTTTGTCTGACCTTTCTTTTCCCCAAATGTGTACATAAAGAACTTGTTTCTCAGCCATCATGAAACAGGGCTGTGGAAGTGCTTCAGGACATGACCCTAAGCCAACAGTCCTGGGAATTGACTTGATCCAGTCAAGTGAGACTGTCCTAAACCACAACTGCCAGCAAACAGCCTTCACATGATGAACAGTTAGAGGGCAGCACTCAAGATTACTTCCTCTGGTGCCTTGCCTACTGAAGAGGGAGAAGGCACAGAGCAACTCTGTACAAGAAAGTTTCTGTTTAGGAAAGCATCTGGTCCATAACACAATGGAAACAGTGACTTCTATGAGGAGCCTTTACCTGAGCTATGACATCTGAGATGGAGGCACATCCCACTAGGAAACTGTACTTGTGTTTCAGCAGAATCCCAGCATGGGTCCATGCCTGAAAAAAAGCCAGAGAAAAGTTTGGGAAGCGATTATGATATTGTAAATGACTTCAGGTCCAAGAATGCTGTTTTCTGGTTGTTAAATTGTATACAAACAACCTTCAGCAGTTCCTGGCAAACATTAAGCCCTTAGGGCAGAGAAAGCACTGTTGCATTGAGTTCCTCATTGCCAGGCTGGCAGGGAGAATGGGGATAAATTTACAGACTGTATAGAAATTTCTGAGCACACCTAGTAAGAAAACAGCCCTTCACAAATCAGATGCTACACAGGATGAATTATCATAGTAAATAATCTAATAAATAATCATTCACCAGTGGGATGAACCTCTGAAGTGTAATATCCATTGGCCTACTGAGTCCTGTCTGGAAAAGAAAACCAACTTCAACTTCTTTTTAATGATCCAACTTCTTTTTATTATCAGTGACTGCTTCAAGCAAACAAAGTGGTGAGAAAGTGGTTGAAGCATTGGCATGAGAAGGTTCTTTACCAGTTTTACAGAGGCAGAGGCATTAAAAAGAGTTGTTGCATTTTCATGTTGTGCAGGCCACAAGCAATGAGCCTGGTGATCTGGGAAGCAGCAGCAGCTCTCCCCATGTGTGGGTCTCTTGCCCAAGCATTTGAGATATACTGGAGTTAGCTGTGCTTGTAAAAACTGATGGCAAGAAACATCTTTTTGACAAATTTGCTTTGAGAAAATATTGGTGTTATTCCTTATGAGCTCTGCAGGTGATCTGGGAATGCATGGCAAATCCAAATCTTTCACCACAAAAATCAGAAATGATCAGAATGAGGTCACGTACAGACAACCAGAGCAGCTCATCATCACAAGATGACCAGGGCTTTCCAACATGCATATACTGTAACTCTAACAAAGGCAACTAAGGTTTTTGACATCTGTTATGATCTCTGGATGTTTAAAGTCCACTCAGATGCTTTCTCCATGCAGCAGATGAGTCTAGGTATATACAGAATTACAGCTTGCAAAGGCAATTACTGCTTACTTCTGCATACTTCAGTTTCCCAACAGGTTACAAAGTTTGTGAACTAAGGTCACAAAAACATAACATTAACATTAAATTTCAGTTCTGATTCGGGTACTTACCATGGCATCCATAAAAGGGAAGGCAGCAAGATATAGGAAGGCCCTCCGAGTTTTACTTCCCACTGATTCATCCACATGGTGCAGCTTATTAATAATGTAATATCCCAAATCACTATATGCTGTAGAGAAACAAGATAAGAATGAAAAACAAAGGTTGCATATGGACTCTTGTGTGAGATATTCAGAAGTACCTGGAAGACTGTGATGCCTCAAAGCTCAGACACACATCCACTTAAGAAACAGCTGCAAGGGCTTCAGATATTGCAGCCTCACTAGCTGCTGTTTATGACTAAGAAGTGCTCTCATGGTTCTTTTTAAAGTAACCTTTGGCAGAGGCATGATAACAAATGGCTAGATTGGGGGATGAGTATAGTAAGTGCCACATCTGTTTGCTAAATGAACACACTGGTACTCCAGAAAATCTACTGCTCCTTCACAAAATCAAGGCTCTTTGTTAGAAAAGCTATTTTCACCAGGCTTTGTGTATTTCATGCGATATAGTGCCTTTAAATGCTGAAACCACCGATAATCACTGCATTCCCATGACATGACCTGTAAACCTGCCCAAAGCTGTAAAAGGATAGTGGGATTTGTGACAGCAGGCAACAAATCACACTTGTTATGCCTCTCCCTTACTCTGCCTAATGACCACTACTGCCAGGACCTGTCAGGACAATGTGTGCTTTGCTCTGCAGTCCCTGGGCACCCTTGACCTTTCCTTCCTTATCTAGAGCCAGCACCTCCAGAGCCACAAGTCACAACAGGGCACCTCTGGAAATCAGGCGGTTCCCACTTCTGATCGCCAGTGTGTTACTTCACTATCCGGTTTCAAACCAAGACAACTTTTAGTGTTGGACTCTCTTTCCAGGCCTCTTTTCACAAGGTGTTGGGCTGAAGGCTAAACAGACATGGCAAGTCCCCACACAGCTCTCTGCACAACTGCTTACAGTTCTGTTTGTAGCCATGTTACCCAGATGTTTTAAGAACCCTAGAGTCCTCCCAATAACCAGGTATAACAAAGGCTGTGACTTTAGTCTGAACTATGGAGACAAATATAATATGCAGAAGCAAAAAATCCAAATCAGTTTTAACCTTCTACAAACCATGTTCTAGAACTGCACATCATTACTTGATTTCTTCTATACACTTGCAATAGCTGTTGAGAGTGATCAGGCTGTGAGGCCGATCTCCCCCAAGACAAGTAATGGCAGAATTATTTGTGTCTGGGGAGCCTTATTTCAGTTCTTTCCTACTTGTATGTTTTCTAAGACAGCTATTTCAAATGTGAACATCTAACTAATTTTCCATTTATAAGAACCTTATTATCTTTGTACAGACCTTCATATAAGGAATTTCAGGAAAGTGATCCTTTTCATGCATGCAGGTCTCATAACTGGATTGATAAATGCTAACATTAGTCATCAAATGCAATCTTCTTAGCCTAAAACTGTCACTCATACCTCTTAAACACTATTTGCAGGCAATTGAAGAGGAGTTTAAGTAATCATTGTTTTGTGATGGTTTAGAGATACAGCAGTTAAACGATTAACAGAACTTAAAAGACTATTTGAGTCCAAACAAGACAGTGTAAACAAGACAGTAAAATAAAGGGTGATATGCCAGCACTGTGAACAAGTACAAGCCTCATTCCAGATAACCAGGACTGCCCAAAAGATGCAAAAAATGTTTAAAACTCCCCCTTTCCCTCTGCTGGATGTCATTCCCCTGAACTATGACTGTTAGACTCACAGTCTCCAAATTCACTCAGTAAATCCCAAGTTGCTTAGCCACCTTCCTGAGGCACTCCCAGCCTTGCTTCCTTTTGAAGGTGGCTGGGGAAGAATTTTAAACCAGGACTCCAACTTTTCTTCAGTTTAGAGAAGGCAGTTTAGTTTCATAAGTGTTCAGGTGCTTGTTGCAGTTCAATCAAACATCAAGCACAACTTCTTTATATTTTTGCACGAATAGCCATGCACCAATCTTTACTCAGTGTTTTGACAACTCTCTGCTACAAAGGGTCTTTTGTGTGTTAAGTCCTTGTGGAGAGTTGCTTTTATGGCAGGGCAGTGTATGGATGTTCCTGAATCAACTCATTTCAATGAAGGAAAGAAAGCAGGAAGGTCTGTGAGGCAAGCCATATGTGAAAGTCAGAATCATTCACTGAACTTTCTCTTAGGTTCCATTGAGTGTGCTTTACAATTCTGCACAAAAACTTATAAACCTATGCAGGAAACACACCACCTTATACTCCACGTAGTGACTGAGAATTGTAGTCCACATGCTGAGGAACCTGGTTCTGCAGAGGGGCCACTGCCACCAGTGCAGTGCTAGAAGCACAGCATGCTGCAGAAGTCACCCTTCCCTGCTCTCCCTGCCTTTCATCTGTTTTAAATGAGACTTCTGAAGTGTTTAGAATGTGAGTAATAAGTAACTTTTCTGTCTCCAAAGGCCACTGCACGTTGTTGTTTTTTTGTTTTTTTTTTTTTACCTAAAGTTTACTATCACAGAAAAAATCACAGAATGAGAGGGTCAGAGGCTGGACTACTCTCACTTCTAAGAAAAGGGTTGTAGTTTACTGGCAGGGAACTCTCAAGGCACTTATACCATTACAACTCATAGCACCACATTTTTAAGATTTCTGAGGATATCAGCACTGAACTCTGTAAACTTCAAAGATTTTGTTTTTTCCTTTCCCCCATAAAAAAAAGTTTCATTGCACATTTTTAATATGATTTTCGTTTTAAATTCGTAATCGTTAAAACATTATTTTCAAAATAGTAAACTATTTCATATGTCAGTGAAAGCACACAATCACTTTTGCTGATGTCCTTGTATGTTTCCATTCTCACAAAGGACTCAGCAAGCTGAGATTCACTGACATACAGGCATGTGACACTGAACTGTGAATCAAGCAATTGCTGATGCAATTAGAACTTAACCTTGGCCAACTGTACAAACTTATTATGAAGAATGGTACAAAATTAATAACAGAGACAACAGAGCCAGAGAGTATTACGTGAATCTAAAGCAGATGGTGCTTCCCACTTCTTGCATAATTTCAACTAAAACAGAGAAGTCCAAGTCCAAGACAAGCTGCCTGTTTGCTCTTCTCTAATACCTCATTTATTCTGCTGTGTCTAAGGATAAGATTTGCTAGAGAAGTTAAGCAGGAATTCTTGCTTTTGTTTTTTAAGACCCAGAAGGTCAAGAAATGACACTGAAAACTGTACACCTAATTAGATCTCCTGGTCCCTACACTGATTTCTCTAGTAAGCCAATTACTACACAAACTTCAGACACCCTTAAAACAACACACTCTTAATGATGCCAGCAGTCTCAGACAAATAGCTGTACTGTAGTTATTTCTGAGCCGACTACTACTGAGCATGTCATACTTAAATCATAAAGAAAAAAACTCTCAGAGAAAGTGACACCATTTACTTCCACACACGGAGCTACATATGACAAAAATAGCTTAACTGGAAGAAAAATATCCAAAACATGATTTTGGGTTAAAGTGTGTTCTTTCTAGACACATTCCATTTACATTCTTTGCTGCCAGTTCTAAAAATGAACTCGGAGGCTTGAGAAGTAGCAAATCCATTCTTCTGCTTGTTGGAAAGATGGTTCACATGGCCAGAACTGATGCTCATCAGTTTCTTAGTCACAGAATGCTCTGAATTGAAACAGACACACAAGGAACCAAAAAGTCCATTCTTAAGTGAATGGCCTGTACAGGGACCAAACCCACAACCCTGGTGTTATTAGCACCATGCTTAATGCACTGTGCTAATTTGTTCAGCTAAGTCATTTGGGCAGATAGGAAAATGTGAAAAAACAAAAGCAAATCTTCATTTGGAGATGCCACAGGGTATATAGATTTCTTTATGTCTTTGGCTAGCTTGAATTTAAAACAGAAGAGAAAGCCTCTGTTTTCCCCACGTGAAAGCTCAGATGACCAGAGTATTCAAGGTGTTGTAATTTTTTTTTTCTTTGCTTATAACAATACATGAATTAAAGAAAACCAGAACATCTCAGGAGCATCTCAGTGAAGACTGATTACTGCAATCATATTTTTCTGTGCTCAGGTCTAGTTCCAAAATTGCATTAGTTAATTTTCCCAAATCTATGAATGACTTTTAGTATCTGAGGTATCTTCATATAAGCCAATATTTCATAAGTCTCAAAATTATCTTGTTTTAACTGAAATACAATCACTGCCATCCAAAAGTGCTTTGGTCATTAGTGTTCCTCCTTTGTCTTGAGTACCTTATTGGAAAGAAACTGCCCCTGTTGTGGGAAAAGGGTTGGGGCAGCCAGGGAAGTGTGTTACTGCTTTAGCAATGGCCATACTGAAGTCGGACAAATTCTTAATGAGTAACATTTTATTTTTATTTAGAGGGGGGAGGGGGAAAGCAGAAAACCCAGATTATATTCTGATATGTGTTCCTGTGCTGTCCCTTTTTTCCAGGGCAAAATGTTTAGTATACCCCAGTACAGTGTTCTTGTTGGAACAAGACTGACTAAAAGAAAAATACCTTAGCTTGTCATAACCCACTCTGTAACTCCTAGTCTCTGGAAAATTCCAGTAGTGTTACACTGGAACTGGTGGGATTACACCTATGTCTCACTTCCTACGGAGAGTTCTAATGTACATGCAGTGATCATGCATGTGGGAAGTCCAAAAGTATCAGTGGAATTGCTAGGAACTGCTGAAGTTTTCCCCTGTGCAATCTATGGCCCACGCTCAGCAGTCTGACAGTAATAAATGGGCACAAAACAAATCACTCGTGTGTCTTGGCCATCCAATCTGCTATAGATTACTGCTGAAGTTAACCTACACTTAAGTTTACTGGTTACTTAAGTTCCATGCTTTCTCTCCTGGTGATGACATGTAGGTTTTAACCAGGTATAGCAAAAAGCAAAGAGGATGTTTCCTCAAAGTAACTGCTGCTCTGTCATTTCTAGAACTACTGAGAATTATTCAAAAGGAAATAAACTTCCTTAGTGTACTATTTCTCAGTAAACTAGTGAAAAGTTGAACAATGCTGTTTTATTGCCGAAGAAATACTTCATATTGCCAAAGAACTCTTCATGACACTGATGTTGAAAGACTCAGTATGGAGGGCTTACCAGCAACACTAAGAAATGCGTATTAGCATAATGTTACATAAATGACTTTTCTGTCAAGCTGGCTATTTAGTAAGATGTCAAAAATATGCAGAGATAGGCTTAGCATCTTGAATCTCTTCTCTTACAGCCACCAAAGAGCCAATCTCTGAAATAACAAGACACTTTAGATCCTGGCACCATACTGAACTTCCCACCAGGAAACTAACTGGTGACAGTAGCTGCCCTCAAAGTAGCCCAAGGGAAGGAAGGCAGAATTCTGCATTCTACTTCCAGATCACACCTGGAACAGCCAATCCAGGAACACTGTACTGACAAGGTTTACAGCAGTGTTGGAAGTGGGATGAGAATATGATTTTGAATTCCTTTGGCCAACTTGGTAGTTACTGCTACCTGTACAGGGGGAGTGACAGGAGCTGCTGGTGAGGACTTTGGAGACCTTCATAAGGACGTGGCTGGGTGATGACTGTGGGACCCAGAGCTTGCAGCTGTGAGTTCAAGTGGTTTAGCTCAGCCAGCCACCGGCACAGAGGACTGTGTGAGCCCCACTGGAGAAGCAGCAGTGGGGAGCTGGTGCTGAAGCAATGAAGCATGAGTCAGGTGGGTGAAATGGTCTGGTTTGATATTTTCCATGAGTAGAGGCTGCTGCTTGTGAGGAGCTGTGTGTGTAGACTGCAAATCATGTCTATTACAGCTGGAAATGTGGTGATTCATTGCGGTCACTGTGTTTCTACGACCACTTGTTTTCTTCCTTTTGACTTTTGGTACTCCTTATTTCATTGGGCTTTTTATTTTCTGTTTCTTCCTGGGCTTTGACAGTCCATGGCAGATAGACATGTCATCTTCCTTAGCCCTGTATTTATGGCATGTGGAAAAACTTCAGTCCCCTAAGTGCTATTTGTTTCTCTTTTTCATCCACCAAGCATCAGTGACCTGTATCTTGTAGATAGCCTGTGACAGGCTTGCAGCTGCTGAGGAGTACTTGCAGGTCCTAGGAGGCTGCCTGTCACTGGACTCCTCTTCTTCCTGCTAGGCAGGCTGTGTATCTGTAGGTCAGAGCAAAATAATCAGGACTTGAAACATGTTCAAAGGATACTTGGAACATAAAATTTGGCAATATCACCCAGGGAATTGGTGCTAGAATCTGACTAACTCCATTCCCTCGGGCGCTCTGCCAGTCTCTGCTGTGGCCTTTGCATATTTTCAGGCATAGACAAGTTAAAACACCAAAAAATATTTTGCAGTCTGTCACCATAAAAAGCTGAAAGATTGTGTGCAGCCCTTTAATTCAGGACTTTAAAGCATAGTAAGCACAGCCTCCTTTTTTTTCCCAGTATCTGCAGAGTGCATTTCAGAGGTTCCGAACTCAGCAGGGCTCTACTTCCAGGCAAAGGCACAAAACTTAGCTGACAAGTTTTCCAAACATTGTTCCAAACACCTCCTTTCAATAAGAAGTCCCACACAGAAAAACCAGTTATGTTTTTCACCTGGAAATCTGATAGTTATACTTAAAACTTTCTTAAAATCTATGCTAGCTTAAAATAAAAAACTGGATGACTAGAAAATAACTTTTTATCCAGCTGGCAAAGGCAAAAACTTTGACCAGCACTGGTACAAAAGCAAGTGAGCAACTAGAAGAGGAGCTCTGGGGGCTGAAGAAACATTCCAAGCAAAGAAATATGAGAGCCAAATGGGCCAAAATTTGTAACAGTGACTCAATAAAACACTGTCAAATGTAAACATATTTAGGAAGTGACCGATCGAAATCACTGAATTAAATTAACTTGAATGCATGGCTTCAGCTTATAAAATTAGCAACACCTTATCCCTGGCACACTGTTGCTAGTGGCTAGTGAGCCATTACTGTAAGCATTTTTATGACTGCAACACAGAGCAAAGCTAAATAGCACAAGGCTCACATATCAGTGGTGGAATAAGAGATATGATGGTCAAAACAAACTGTAGTGCTTGGAAGGCACACAGAACTGGTGAATATAGCCTGTTAAAGGGTAAGAGTTGGGGGCATTTGTATTTACCAGATGGATCTTGTACCTACTCAGGCAGAAACTGAAATAGTCCTGTCCTGTTCTGTTCTGTTCTATTCTATTCTAATCTATTTCTATTCTTATTCTATTCTTATTCTACTCTACTCTACTCTTTTCTATTCTATATGATGAACTGCAGCACATGTTGCTCTTGAGATACTAACAGCCTGACAATGAATGCTGCCTCCCTTTGAGGCCATTCTGAGATTTCACAGCAATTCAGGACATTACACTGGCATTTCCCGTTTTTCTGTGATGGAATGACACCCTACTGGTGGTGATCCAATCCAGCCCTACTGCCTGTCAACCAACACATGCCTCCATAGGCTGTCACATTATCTCCTCCCTCCCACCCTTTACAACTCTCAGCCTGTTAGGATTTTACCTGCTCAATGCAGTGTACTCTCTGCTTCTTCCTCCAGAATCTCCTGTTCCTTGTTGCTACAGTCCAAAGGTTTCAGCTCTGTAGAGTTAGCCAGAAGGTGCAGAGAATCTTGTGGACTTCTTGGAGAGAATGATGTTAAAGGTCTTCCAAGTTAAATGGCTTTTATTGCTGTGGCTGATGCTTGAGTTGATATCCCATTTTTCTAGGCTCTAAAAACTGTCAAATCCTGTGGCTGCTATTTTTTAATATTCAGTTTGTGTCTGCTTGTGTATTTTCTTTGCTTCAGAGTACACTCAGGGAGTTGGTCTCAGTTTGGTGTAAATTGCTCTTGGTAACCTCTTCCTCATAGATTAATTATTCAACAGACGTGGATGATGCCTAGCAGCAGTAGTGAGTACTAACTGATATTTTAATGACGATGCTGGCACCTGCCTGCTGAGAGTTTTGTACTGTGAGGTAAGTAGCAAAGGAATAGGTACAGAGGGAGTACACCAACAATGCCACCAAGAACTGACAAACAGCCCAATCAAGCACAGTTTAAAGTCCTGCCAAGCCAAACCAGCAGATACTGCTAGCTGATCATCATTACCTAACAGTAACACTGAGCTATCAGCTTCAGGTCATCAAAGTTTTGCTCATACACCTGACAGAAAGAGATCAGTAGCATGCTTTGTTTCCAGGCAGAAGAGCCCTGTGTGTGGAATCTGCTTTTTAATAACCTGTTTAAAAAGCAATAAAATTGCATGCATGGGCATGATACCAGCCCCAGAGAACTCATCTCTTCTGCATCGCCTGTTGTACTTACAAATGAAATATTAAGCCTGCAGCTTAAGGAGTTTGAAGAGTTGGTGAGGGAAACAAATTAAAAGTCATATTAACTATACGTGACCTTACCTATTAAGGTATGAAATACAGCAGCTACAGCGCCAGCCACAACCATGCACAAAACTGCTTTGGTCCTGTCTCTCTTGCTGTTCACAAACACCAGACCTACATTTTTGAAGTCACTCATCGGACCCGTGAAGAACTTCATCAGGGAGTATGCCAGCCCATAGCTGGCTAACATTTCCACAGCATCTTCCTTGACAGCAGCGATGCCCCTATTCAAGGCCTGTGGGAACACAGAAAGAGCAAATGATGTAGCACATGTGGAAGGGTACCAAACACCATTTCCTGCATCTGGTTTTTGAAGGAAGAAGCAAGTTTAACTGTCATTGTTTTCATCCCAAGCTGGACTTTATTTCCCTGGATTCAGCAGCAGTAACTTGTGACCTGTGATACAGGCAAAATAATTTAATATAGATTAAATTCAAGTCAAGTAGACTTGAAGGTAAGGTTAGTATCTGTTTCTGAAGTATATAATGGAACTTCTCCCATACCAGAAGTCTGTCTCTTTCCTTTTTAGAACAATTTTACGACCTGTTAATAGTCATGGATAATACAAAACCACTGAAATACTGCTCTGAGGTTTCAGCCATGATTTCAACAGAGCATAGTCCTTGCAGGTGATTTTTACAGGTAAAAGCTCTAGTACATGCTCAAAATTGAGGAGCTAAAAAACTCTTCCCATGTAACAAGCTTTTCACAACACCAATTGCTGCAATTGTTGTGAATAGCTGATATTAGTCTATGACTTTCATTATGAAATGAGGCCAAATATGCATGTGATTCAACATAACTTTAAATCTCCTTTCATTTAGCTGACATACACATATTTGTGTATATACAAACTGCAGGAAATTTAAAAAGAAATACAGCACGTATCTTTCAAGACATATTCAGGTGAAACTAACTTACTAATTTATTCCAAGTCTGTGTTTAGGAAATATCTGCCAATTAATCACTGAGAATTAGATGGATTATTTTTATAACTAAGACAAGCTGTAAAAAAGATGTGTAACATTCCTTCAGATTCCAGCTTGAACCAAAATGCTTCTAAAGTATTGAATAAAAATGACAGAATGATAAATTTTATCTGCAGAGTGACAGCATCAATCATGTGGTACACCCAGCAACCTGTTAAAACAATATTAGATTCAAAAAGCATGAAGGATGAAATATGATTTGTTTTAACAAGCATTTAGTTCCTATGGGTTACAGCTGATGTGTGCTGACAGGGCCGCAGCAATCAGGACAACCAGGAAAATCTCGCCAAGCCACCACCCAAACCTCACTCATACAGTTCTAATTCCACTTTATCTGAATGAAAAAAACAGCTAGACTATCATCAGGGAATTGTGGTGAAGTCTTTCCATTTGAAATGTAAGCATAAGCTTTTTGTTGCAGTTATTTGACTTTATTTTCCCTTCCAAAGATCATACAAGCAAGCAATTCCTATTGCCTTGAAAAGAACTTGCATCTCTGAAGTAGAAATGAGCATTTTTCCTACTGTTCTTTCCCACTCTTTCTATAAGACATTCTTAATTTTTGAAAATAAAGCTGCACTGTCAACATGGAAAAGGCTGTAGAAAGTACTAACTCCTCCACTTTTGATACCTGCCAAATCCCTCTCTTTTAATGTGCCCTGACCGGAATGCCTGAGACTCCAAATGTTTTCATCTGTCTTGCTCCAGTTTGTTCCTTCCTGAAAACACCATGTGTTAAATATGGAATACCTGCAGATGCTATATGTAACTTTTCCTGGGATATACATAATTCCATCTATTGTATTGATATCAGTTCAAATTATATTAAATATGTTGATGCCAAAAGCACTAGTGTATGCACAAAACTGTATTCAAACAATTTGTGAAAGACTGTGGCTTCTGAAATGAATGGTCAAGTGTAGTTGTCTTTTCTGATGATACTTGTGATGGTGAAGTGATCAGTTTCAAGGTGTATACAGAGATACAATCTTCTAATTTAAAATTGCCAAAAAGATGCCAAATCTCCAAATTGCTGTTGCCAGTAATAGACAAATGGCCTTACATTATGCCAAATAAAAGGTTCCTTGATCATGGCTCTTCCCCTCTTTTTTCTTCTGTCAAGAATGAAATATTTCTGGTGGCTTCAATTTAAAGAGAAACAGCTAACCAATATCAGGCAGGCTAGTTTAAAAGCTTCTCATTACATGTAAACAGCTGAATTATTTCCAGCAGTTTCACAAGCACAAGTGCTTCCTTCCTGCTTTGTACAACTACAAAATACCAAAGTCTGTGAAGGATGGTAATTCACTTCTGACAAGGTCATGGGATAATCATGGCTTTAAGAAATAACTTTTTGTCAAAAGGCATGGCACTATGATCCCTCTGCAGAGGGAGAAATCTTTGCCTAGCACAGACTTCATGCCAGTAAAAACAGCTCCATATGACTCTGGCCCTGGGGTAACTAAGTTTTTCCATCTAAGTAGGACAGACAGAAAGACTCGAGCACTTCTCACCCCCTCTGGTTTTAGTGATCTCTTTTGAATGAACAAATGATGGCCAAGTAGATAACTTCTGAGTAATCTTCCCTGGGGACACCCTGTGTACCAGGTAAGGTAAACCGGCAAAATCCAAAAGGGACTTTTGCAAGAGATATGTTGCCATTAATTTTTACTCCTGTGGAACGTGTGGCTGACATGATGAAATACTCCAGAGGCTAGCCCTGAAAAAGCAATCCTTCTAAATGCTTCTTTGGAAAGATCCTTAGGAAATGAACAGTCAATAGGGATGTGTTTAGGGATGGCTTAGCCTCTGTAGCCTTTTCCTTTTTCACTTTAAGATGACATTATAAGACTCTTCATCCTCAATTGTTAAACTCCCTATGAAAACTCGTATAGTTTTTCTACCTATGTACTTCCAAATATTTTTGCTGCTGAAGCTGTTGATGTCATATTTGATATCTTAAAATTAATAAGAAATCCCAGATAACTGATAAAGCTGCTTTGGTGTGCAGTATGAAAGACACAGACACTTGATCTTTCATGGCATGCCAGCCATGCAGTTGGCAATCTTCCAGTCTAATTTCCTGTTAGATTTCCAATTAAATCTGTCATAAAGGAAGGCAATATAAACCAGGGCAAGGCTGCCATTTTTTAATCTAACTCTATTTTGAACACTTTTTGTGTGAACAGAAATCAATAATGAAAGTTCATCAGTAGCATCTGTATCACAAGAAAGCATACCTCTACAAAGATTTGTGTAGCTTGTCAGTGCAGTCACACAGAACTAGGTAGCAATAATATTCATGACAATATTTAACACATTATGTTAGCTTGATCATATGCATTTCAGGTGTCATCCTACCTTGAACTTGACTTATTCATACCATATTAGATGGGATAACTAGGCAATCCAGATGCTCGAAGACAGACTGTTGGTGACATCACCTTCACCTGAGCTCTTAATGAACCACTAATCTAATACAGTAGCAGGTGAAAATGTCACAGTAAAGTGTAATTCATCAAATGTGATTAAAACAAAGCCATAGATATTGCTGACACTTCTAGAAATAACAGAAAAAACCCATAGAACACTTCCTGGCAGAGCACAGTCTGGTAGACACATGGACAGGTTAGCTACAGTAACTCATATTGCTAAAACATTTCTCAAAAAGGCAGGCACAAAGATACACACTTCTATGCAATGTCTTCTATAACATATTTGTTATCCCTAGAAAGATTAAATCTTTACTAAGGACCTGCTAACAACCCTTGAACCTTTTTTTAATTAATAATTGTGTGCTTTTTGACATTAGTGTGATTTTGTGACATTTAATGTTCACTAAAATCAGAGAGGACAAGCATTTTTAAATTCCCATCCAAGAGATTCAAGTCAGAGGAATATCAAATACACTTAACAGCATTGCAAGCCACTAACCACACCTTTACAATTGGATAATGCAGCTGGCTTTAGCCTCTTAGAAGGAACATGTGAGACAACAATCAAATTTCTAGGACATGCATAATGGATGAATCCATCAAATGATTGCATGCAAAGGCAGTGATTTGAAAAGCAACAGTTGTGAGAAAAATGTCAAAGGTCTAACTTGTCCTATTTTGCATGAACTTTTAGCACTATTCACTAATGTTGGCAGAAAAGGTTTGGTTCTAATCTAGGGCTACACCTCTGCTGCCAAAAATTCAAAGGCTGTCTCTTAAGCTGGCTCGATAGAGTTTGACCATTACTCACATGATCCTTCCTTTCCAGAGACTACTGGATGACTGATACTTTACTTTGTATTGGTTTAGAAGTATAAAAAAAAAAATTACAAGTCCACCAAGAAAGCAACATCTATTGTACAAGTTTTCTTCCACTTTTAAAACTGATTATTACCTACATTTCACTAGTCTGTATCTAACTATGCAACATTTTCTACTTCATTTGAAGTTAAATATTGACTGTGCAGTCAATACTTGACCCCAGTGTATGTGCTTTAAACAGGAGGACGTAAAATCCAAGAAATGTAATTTTTGTCAATGCTCCATTTTGCTTATCCCAGAAAAGCAGAATGTGACACACTAGAAGCTGGCATGCTCCTACAGCTTGTTTGAAACTGGGATTCTGCCTGAGATGTTTTCAAGTCTGTTCAGGCTAGCTATTTACTTACAGGCGACATCAGAAACCTGCTCAATTTGACAGTATCTTGGTCAGATATATGTTTGGTTCAGCAAACATTTGTAACGTGTGACCCTTCCCAGCACACATCTTTCTTCCCACCTGGTATTCCCTAAGAAAACAGAAGAGAACCTAAGTACCCAGCTAAAGAGCAAGCTGATGTAGGGGACACTGTATCTCCTGTGACAAATAATCTCTCTACTGATGACTCCTGGCTGAGTTTTCATTTACTAAACCCTATCACACTGAAATCTTCAGCATCAAATGTACCAGCTGGCTCTGGCTGCTCTGCCTCCTGCAGTCAGCACTGCAGGAGCTGTGCTGCCAGAAACACGGACACCTGACACATCTGATGCCCTGAAAACACTGCATAATGGGATCACTGTGTAGGTGCTACCTGAGCACTACTGCAGCTGCATCTCTGCTTCTGGATGGGTTTCTCATAAACTCAGGAGCCCCCATAGACAATTTGAGATAAACAGGTCTGAGTAAGTCTTCTATGGACACAGGTATAGAAGTGAGAGAAAACTGGGGAAAAATAACACACACATATTTATTCAGGCTCAAGAAGATT